TGAGTTGCGTGGGCCACTCACATATACAGTGCACGACTGCTGGTTACTCAATCATTGATGGATAGGTTTCTCATTTTACTCGACAGTTAGATGAATGGAATATTTTTAATTGTCGATTACCTGACAACAACACTATTTAGGTATATTGACAAAAGAGTATTGTCCTACTTCTAGATGATTCGTGAAAACCTTTCATAAACCGACGTAGTTTGTATTTTTTCTTTTGGCATAGCGCAAGTGCAATTAGGTGCATCTTGGTATTCTCAAGTAGTTTACATGGTTTTTGTTGTTATCAGCCTTTTGATTTTCCTTGAAAAGATCCAAAAATGGGTAATTTCTCCTGACATAGATTTTGAAGAGCACACTCTGAGCTATCAATCCTTGGAAATAAATCAATATAACCCTATTGGAAGTTTCTGAGACACAGCCGACTCTTCCAATGATTTCCTGAAAAAGGGGTTGTAGAAAAACTTGCTAGAAATATTTCTGCTCATGGAAGCAAAAGATTTTGACTCTGGAGAAATACGCTTACGAAAGTTATTAGTAGAAGACTAAAACTTTCTAGGATATGAGAAAACTTTGATATTTCCTTAAACATCTCTAAAACTAGAGAAAGTCCATTTTCACTTGTTGTATTAGTCTGAAGTATACAAGTTGTACTATATATCCACATAAATGCAATATGTAACCATTTTGCTTGATCCTCAAGTCTGACTTGCAACCTCAAGTCTGATTCTGAAGGGATGTTATGTTGTATATCAAGAAGAATCACTTAATTATCATTCCAGTATATTTGTGTATAATCATTCCATTAGTGACCAAGTATTAAAACTAAAAAATAAAACTCAGGTTGCTTCCTGTTTGTAAGAGAGGAAAGAGGAGAATGTTTTAAGTTACACTTTACATCTTAATTTTGATTGAAGCTTTTATTATTCAGGACTAGTTTGCGAAGGGTGTTTGGCAACGGTAACACCATACAACAAGATCTTGATAGAAGTCTTTTTCCGTATCTTGTATGACGTTTAATTGATGAGAAAAGGTGGATACGGATCATAAAAGAGAGGACAGTGATGTGAAGGAAACTGAAAAATGATAATGTTATATACGCTGTTGGAAAAAGTGTAGCCTGCTTCTCACGCAACAATAACAATATACAACCAAAAAGATAAATATTCATATATATAGAAAAAATGGTGTATCTCAGAGGTTGTACATTGTAACGCCTTTTGATAGAAAACATATTTTACACCTTTGTCTGTGAGCAGACGAGGACATGAATACTTATAAAGAACGTCCATGCCATCATTTCTGTGGAGTGATTGTCAAATATGATAAGATCAGCCGCAAGCTCTAATGTTTAAAAAAGCGGATTTTTTTTGGTTTTTTTCTGGATGGAAGCGACATACATAAATCCGTACATGATACGAATAAGGGTTTATCCTTAGTACATAAATAGCCATCTAGCTGGTGATTACAGTTGAATATGAAGAACTCAGTCGAGTGTTCTTTACTCGAGGAAACCGATGCACTCTGCCTTTGCTTATGAATAACAATATGATTCTCGACTATGTTGAACAGTGCGTGTTTTGGGGATTTTTAATATTCGATATTATTTGGCATGGTACATCACTCTTCCTCATGTAAAATTCTTGATTTTATTGAAGTGCAAAATCTCCTTGTCTAGAGAAGCTCTCAGTTCAAATGTTTGTGTGCGGGACTATTATTAAATAGTTTTCTGCCCTGGTATTATTAAATGGATGGAGAATATTCTTGTTTTATTTATTCTTGTAAAGTTCAAAAGTGGGTATTATGTTTACATGTACTGGATAAATCCAGTTAAGTGTTTCATTTGACTACTACGCCAAGAAAAAAGTAATCTATTCAAAATACTGTAATTATGAAATTCTTTGTGCTAAACTAAACTCATGTCTACCAATAGTATGTTGACCTAAAAATAGTGCATTTAGCTATAGGATTTCTTCCATTTGATTTTTCATCGAATGTTTGTTTTATTTCGTTGGGTAAATTAACAATAAATAGTTCAGTTAATTGAGTATTCATATCTAATGCTCGTTGTAGATATTCACAACCTTGTTGCGTTAGTTGCTGATGCTGAACACGTAAAGATGTCAGTGTTTTGTTTTTTGTTAAATTTTCAGCAATTACTTGTGCACCAATATCTGTTACCAAAGATGATATAGTTAAATTATCAATTGTTTGATTTTTACCAATCAATTGTGCGTAAGCAGTTGTCAATTCATTTGACTGGATCAGATATCGCTGCTTTGTTTCATCATCATCTTCCGGATAGGGGACTATTCCGCATTCGTCTTGATCCCAAAAAACCCAATTTATCTTCTCATATCTTTCCATAATGACTTGTTTTAATGTATGATTATGTTCTAATGCATGCACTAATAGAATTAATTCTTGACGATCACGTCTTTCGTTTAAAAAGCCCAAGCGTAAATATGTCAGACCTTCATTAGATTGAAGACCATTTGCCAATTCTTTTATACTTGATTCTTTTTCGAACACAAGTGGTATAGATAATCTCTTTAACGTTTTTTGCTTTGTTAACAATTTACCTAACAATTCAATTGAATCATCATTAATAGCAGGAGAGTTATTCTCGTAGTCATAATAAAATAAATCTATTTCTTGGATTATTTGATTAACATTTAACATTTGTATCATTGATTGTATACTACTCAGTTCTAATTGATTACATATTAAATAAAGCGTCTTTAATGATGTATTGGTTTGTAAGGCTAAACATATATCACCAATGTCCATTTTATTATAATTTAAATTTAATATTTCTAAACTGTTATTATTTGTCAGGCCATCATTAGCCCATATTTTAATTGATTCTGGAAGACTTGAATAAAAACACTTCGATAAATCCAATGATTTCAACGTTGAATTGTGTCTTAAACCATATGCTAAATTTATGTAACATTGATGTGTTGTCATTATACGCCCAACACAATATAATTCTAATAATGTTTTATTTTTAGATAAAAAGTCACCCAAGACTTTTGTTTCTGCTTCTTCTAATGATATATTCAACCGTAAGATTTTAATAGATGGTGGAAATACGGATAATAGCGCATCTAATCGGTCAGCATCATAACCAACGCGTATAGTTAATTCCGTTAAATATCTCATTTGTTTAGATAATATTTGACAATCCTCTAATGTTCTCTCAATCCAATCCAACTCTAGACATTTTATTGATGGACAATCGGTTAAATGTTTCGGAAAACACGACTCACATCGTAACGTTTGAATATTTTGTGCTGGATTAAAAAGCTTTTTATCACCTAATTGTAGATCTAAACTGTCTAAAGATAGACTCTTGATATTAAAGTCTGTTATGAATTGATGAATTATTTCTGCATGCTCATCTGTTACTGTATTTTCACCAACACTAATACATAGCTCATCTATTTCGTTAATTTGTTTTAATTTCAGTAACTTGATTATCGGTTTAAAATTATCGATAAACGATCGTTCGAACTCCTGTCGTTGTTCATCATGTGGAGGTTCTACTACATAGGAATGATGGCTACCATACCACAATTCTAATTTTTTTATTGATAATGATTCTTGTGATTGTTGTAAAAACTGCTGGAAAAAAACTAAACCATATTTGCTGTGTTTGCCATCAATTCGTACCTTTGATGAATTAGGATCATATATGAATGATTTTAAAGCCTGTTTTATATCATCCTGATGAATCTCAAGTCTTGCAATTTCATCCTCAATCTGTTTCTTTGATTCAGTT